GAAGACTTTTTCCTTCACAATATTTGTTCTATGAAGATAAGCATTGTAATTTAACATTTAAAAATAGCATATTCTTTATTCTGCGTCCCCCCTCCAGCATGACCTTTAGCACCATGATATGAAATCACAACATAACATCAGCACTATTTTCCTTACACAAATATTTGTTAAAATAAAATATACTTTATTTGACTAAGCAAGTGTTAAGGACCATTTTTATTACTCTCCTTCTGCAGAAAGAATGCCCAATTACTTTGAAATATGGCCATATCCTCCATCAACAAAAGTTAATAAATGAAGATATGCCTGTAATCTCCCATTGTTATAGGCCTGGAAACTCTTCCCACATAAGCTCGCAGTCCAGAATACTTTGCAGGGATTTACAGTTAATCGTCAAACCTCCAGGCATCCTAGATTCTGATGGAAAACAACAGGTCACTCCTCCACTTTACAGCTGAGGATTGAGAAGTCCAAACAAGTACACAAGGCCTACACTTTCCATCCATAAGTCAGTATTTCCCTCTATTATTATTGACTGTGATAATTAGATCAGCAGAAAGTAGGAGTATCCATTTTCTAATAGACTTCTTTCAAGAGGATTTGTTCTAAAGGAATCTCCTAATTAAAGCTCCTGAAGGAAAACTAATTCTGATTCTATGTGCATGCTGCCAAAAGGAAAACAAGTAGAACACAGAGGAGTATCCAGTTGTATCCCCAAATCCATAGGCCTCTCTGATAAACAAAATGGTACCAGATCCCAATTCCCTAAGGATGAAGACAGGACATCAGTGTGAAACTTCGACATGATCATGGATGCTCTTCTCCTTACACTGAAAAACTTGGCATTCAGGACAATGGATAAGCAGAAGACATAGCAGTTTACCTGTTGTTGCTGTTGCTGTGTGATCCTGAGTCTTAGGCTGTGAGTTACCAAACCAGGACCACATCCAATGATTTTGCTCCTGAACTGCTGCGTGGCTGTTTGAGTGCACAGTTGAAGTAACTGGATCAATTATGAAAATACCATTTAGTGAGATCTTTCTACAAAACCCTTACTCTCAGCTCTATGTATATATAACGTCTGTCTCTATTAATAGAGATTAGAAAAGATTAGAAAAGTAAGATTGAGGCCTGGTTTTATCTTTCCAGTCTCTTAAAGTCTCGTATGAGAAATGCAAATTCTGTATGGGTATCAATTCAGAGCTACTCATTCTTCAAACAGAACCCTCTGGACACAGGCTCAGAGCAAAATCAAGTAGCTACTTAACAACCTGTAAAGGAAAAGAGATTTTATGTTCACTTCATGAGGTGACCCAGCCATGGACTGAAGGTCTTTGATGCAACGTTTCATAAAGTTGCTTTTATTCTTTTGTTTTTGGAGTGTCTTTAGAGGTTCTTACTTGTATCTTTTGGGCCTATCACTTCATGCCGGTAGCTTATGATGACAACTGGCATTTCAAAGCTCCACCCACACTCACAAACTTCAAGTCAAGCTTTATGCTTGAGCAGGAACCTTGCAAAGGGTGTGTGTTCAAAATGTTGAAATCAGATAAAGCTTTGTCAAGTCTCCACCTATCACCGTCTGTCACTTGTAATTCTAATTCAGAACGTGTTTCCAGAAAAGAAACAAAACTGCCCAAGGTAGAGAAATTCTGGATGCTATTCAAATTAGAGAAAGGATAATCAGGGATATTTTGCGATTTGAAATCTCCCATTTGACTCTCAAGTAGGACTTGAGGCCAGAATGTTTCCCTGTGGAAGAAGAAGAGCAAAATCGTCAGGATAAACATCTAAACCAGTTGAGATTTTTAAAAACCATTTTGAGTTATAGGCCCCTTTGAAAATCTGATATAAGTTATGACTTCTGTCCTCAAAAAAGTGATCTGACGCATACACATTCTCAAAATATTGTATATTATTTCAGGCTCTTGAATGTCTTATGGCCCATCATTGAACCTATTGGAGGTCCATGAACACCAGGTTAAAAACTTTGACTCTAGATACACCAAATGTCAACAACCTGTGCACTATGCTCCGTGTTACAAAGGACACATTGGCAAAGAATAGAAAATAGAGACATGGGAGCCAATTTCACCAATGATGCCCCCAGATAAACCCAAGCATCCCCCCGAAAAATTCTCAGGCACCCCATTCTGCCCTCAGAAACTTTATTAAAGACACAGAGCCCCTGCCACCTTCACCCTATAGAAGACCAAGAAGAGACCAACAGGAAGTAAACATACAAGAGCAAGATAGAAATAGGAACTATTTCTATTTTCCCAAAAGGAGTCATACGAGATTTGGGGAAAATGGAAGGAGCTACTGTCTAGCCAGCAGAGTTTCCAACTGTCCCCACCCAAGTAGGCAATGCCAGACCAAAAATATATATGTATATATTTCTTTGACACCCAGAAGACAAGACAAGGAAATAGAGCGTTCCAAGGTAGGAGTCTCTGCTTCCTGAATTAGTTTAGGTTTCTGGATTCCAGAGAATACCAGATCACCAATAGAAAAGAGGCTGATGACATGCCTCCAGGAAGCCTCTTCCAAAAATAACATTTATAATAAAAAGCCTGCTGGAAGTCAAAACCTACCCAGATGGTTGCTCTTACTGGCTTTCCCTATTGCCACCCACTAAGGACCCTTAAGGAAGGAATGACCCAGCCAACCTAAGATGCACTTCTCTGTCCTCAGCCAGACCTCCTCTTGACATCTGTTCTTCTGCATGCATTAGGGAGGATTTGCAATCACTTATCCCCACCAAGACCCACCTTTCAGTCCAATAGTCATGAAGCTTTGGGAATCTCCTCACTGGGCTCAGAAACTGGGGTCTATTCAGGAACTTACCAGTAGTCATTTTTTCTAATATGCCAGGGGCTGCTTTCAAGTTTCCACCCGATTTTTTTTTTCTCCGACACTCTTCTTTGCATGAATGGATTTATCTGGAACTACCATTGGCTATTTTGGATGCTATGGCACTTCAATGACTCTCAGGTTAGCCCTGGACTCACCCTGTTGGACCACTGAGTCTCTTCCCAAACTACTAAGAGAAACTTAGCTAAGTGCTTTGGAAAGAGAAAAGCACAATTCTTTCCTCAACCCAAATGCTGAACTATGTTTTAGTGAAATCTCAAAGCATTCCTTCTCCTTGGTTTCTGAACAGCAGATGGGCATGTCCATGAAGGTCAGTCCAACTCTGAGTGCCCAGTAACTAGAGCACCAGCACAGAGAAGACCTCAAATATTGGTTACTAGCTTACAAATCCTTATTTCCCTTCAGTACTACTGGTACTTACCACTGGATCCCCAGCATTAGAATAGGCTTGGTACATACTAGGTCCTCAAAATCTGTATGCTGACTACCTAACTTGGGCAGGAAATGTGCAATCCCTAAAAGATGTGCTGACTGTTCATTAACTGTCCTTGTTGCCTTTCTAAAGTACATGTGTAATACTCACTATTTGATATAGGCTAATAATGGCTTCAATGTGAATTTCACCTAGTTCCTAAAAGATATATTTTGCCACGATTTTCTTCTTTGGTAGGAAATAGTACTTTGGAGTAGACTCGATCTGCCTCTCGCTGAGACCACTAATTGCTACGTTTGCCGACATCTGACAAAAGTGCACGCCCTGATGATAGGCACCTTCCACATGGTTACTTTAGCAAGGCAAGGGACTCAGGAGCAACCAGCAGCCGACAGGACAGCCTGCTGGGTTTGCAGAAGCTCCTCTCCAGAAGGGTCATCCGTGGGATGATAGACAACGAGGTGACACAATCTCTAGAGAGCCAGTAATCTGGGAAAGCCTGAGCAGTTTGAAAACATCTGCTTCCTGAAAATGCTTCAAAGGATCTGCAGAGAATGACCAGACTTTGGGCCCCTTTGTACCACCCCCCTCTCCCCCGCTTAGCAAGCTGCTCATAGAAATTTAAAACACTGTTGAGCAAGTAACCTGAGGTTAAATCATAGTGCTCTGAAGGCTGCCCTGCCTTCCGGGTGACAAGACACAGAAAAAAGCCCTATGTTGAGCATTCCCAAACCAGTGAATGTCTGCCACACTCTTTGGAGACTAGAGTCCCACCCCCTAAGAGCCAGAGCCAGGACAAAAGAAAATCCACACCATACTAGGAAAGCTGCTCAAGAGGCAGATGCCCTACTTCGGTTTGAATAATCCTCTGCAGAAGGAATGCAGCCAATCTGGAAACCTGTTTTAAAACAAACCATAGGGAAAAAGCAAAGCGGGAAGTGAAGAAGGAGGCCAGAGGGAGAGGCAAACACTTTCCAATGAAAAGTGGAGCACAAAGGGCAAAACCCCAAAGAAATCGAAAGCAATGTTGACATATTTCCGCTCTCGGAGTCCTCAAGTCATGAATTATCCACGTTACCAAGCAAGTATTAACAGCCTTCCCCTCCAGGCTGGGATAGACAACTTTTAAGCAGATTGGATTTGATCAGATAACTCCTTCAGATATGCTTCCTTAGACCAAAAACAAAGGCATTGTTTAGTAAACCAGGGGTGATGAATAGGACTGAATATTGCACCATCAATAATATCGCCTAAATCAAGTTAAAACATAAAAACATAAAGTTGAAAAAAGCAGATGTGATGGTATGCATCCATTAGGATCCCAACTTTATGAAGACAATCTTATCTAAAGGTGGATAAGAACAAGAAGGAAACATGTAAAAGTAAAAATCCCTTCTGTAACGTGCTTGAATTGTCACCACATCCCTGGGACAAGACTTCCAGTATGGCAACTTCTTACCCCCAGGGAAGGAAAACAGAGGCGTAGGTGGAAAAAAAAAATTGTAGGCAGTAGCAGGCTATGCATACAGGGCACGGGCTACCATAATAGCCTCCCTCCCCAAACAACGGAGGTCCCCAACTTCTCGAGACAGGAGACAATCAATACACAAGGGAGTGCAGATCACCCAGGAAGATCAGAGACGGTTTTGTAAACAAATCGCCATTGGAAAGCTCAGTGATTCATTCTCCTTACTGGTAATGGGGGTATGCTCTGGGTTGTCAGACACCCCCGTACTGTCTTGGTCCTGGGTCGGGTATACAGTTGGAAGGTGGGTGTGGAAGATGTTGTAGCCTCCCGAAGTGCTCCTCTCGCTGGAGGATCCGCTGCTCACATCATCATCAGTGGGGCTGCTGGGGTTGATGTCTTCAGGGTTCGTTCTGTATTCACCTGTCTGGCTGTAGCGGGTGCCATCGCGGTTGACAATGGCTGGGGAGAAAGGGAAGGCACTTTCAGAACCTGACAGCTGACATTTTCTTTCTTTCTTTCTTTTTTTTTTAAAAATATTTTATTTATTTATTTGACACAGAGAGAAAGCACAAGCAGCGGGAGTGGGAGAGGGAGAAGCAGGCTCCAGGCTGAGCAAGGAGCCCGATGCAGGACTCGATCCCAGAACGCTGGGATCATGACCCAAGCCAAAGGCAGACGCTTAATCGACTGAGCCACCAAGGAACCCTGACATTTTCTGAGTATAGGAAAGACTATGGATTATCATATAAGACAGTGACTTCAAAGCTATTTTTCTTCGTTATTAAGCAAAACAACACCTAACTATCTGTCTAGTGGACAGGGGCGGGGAGTAGGTGATGCACTAAGAAAGTCTGCCCTCCCCCGCCCACCTGCACACCCTGGAAATGGGGAGGAGGGACGAGGGTGTGTTTGGAAGTCCCCATGTTTGAATCCCAGCTTTATGTGCCCCTAGACAAAGCTGGTACCGCGCTTCAGTTTTGTTGTTGGTGAAAAGGGGATGCTACTACCTTTTGCTATGAGCACTATATGATACATGGTTTGTAGAGTGCTTAGCATAGGATTTCAGATTGAGGTGGTCTCAGTAAATGAGAATTCTCCCATTGGTTCCTATTCTCCCTTCTCAAGTATATGTAAAATCTGTTGCTATTAATTCCATCTACGTCTAGAAAGAATTTGAAGTAGGAAACGAAGAGGTTAGCGGTCTCAACAGGGAATATATATTTGCACATTGTGAAGAATGAGGCTTTTTTTTAATATATTTTTTAAGATTTTATTTATTTATTCATGAGAGACAGAGGGAGAGAGAGAGAGAGAGAGAGAAGCAGAGGAAGAAGCAGGCTCCCAAGGAGCAGGGAGCCCGATGCGGGACTCGATCCCAGGACCCCGGGATCGTGACCTGAGCCGAAGGCGGATGCTTAACCATCTGAGCCACCCAGGCGCCCGAGGCTTTTTTTCTAAGGGGTAAATTTTGTCAGTCTAAGATAACGCCTACTCTGGCTAAGAAATCAGCATGCCTAAATGCTGACAGAGACTTTGCCCATCCTCCGTGAGATTCAACCTTGAAATCAAGAGGCACAGAGATATGTAAAGGTCAAAATCTTTGATTTAAACAAGAAAATATCTAGAATGGACAGGAGAGGGAAAAGCAAGACCGAATTCATTCATTGGTCCTCCCTGAAAGGATTTGCTGCCTTCAAGCCTGGGCCACTCACTGCTTAAGTGTGCATTTAGCTAAAATTATTTTCTGCTATATTGCACTGGACTAAATGTTCCTTTTGTCCACCTATCTAGCTTGCCCAAGTGGAACTATTAGTAAAACATAAATTAAAAAATATTGGAGGGGCGCCTGGGTGGCTCCGTCGGTTAAGTGTCCAACTCTTGATTTCAGCTCATGTCATGATCTCAGGGTCATGAGATCGAGCCTAGCACGGGCTCGGCACTCAGCCCGGGGTCTGCTTGAGATTCTTTCCCTCTGCCCCTCCCTTCGCTTGCTCTCTTCCTCTCAAATAAATAAATAAGTAAATCTTTTAAAAAATATTGTGAAGTCTCAAACACCCTGATAATCTCTGCAGATGAAGATCTGATAAAAAAAAAAAATATGACCAACTTTTACAGGTCTGGCCTTTGAAAGGCATTGGTGGGGACCAAGGAAATGGGACGTTTATTGAACATGACATATGGTCCTGGCATGCATTAGACATATTATCTTTCTTCATTTTCATTTCAAATCTCACATGTTGTTCCATTATCCAGATGAGAAAACTGAGGCTCAGAGTAAGTCATTCCTTTGAGATCACCCAGGTGGTAAGGAACTAAGATTTCCAACCAAGCCTGTCTGAGACAGCACATCTCACCCTGTGGGCCTCCCTTTCCATGTGGCACAGGTCAGGGACAATTTTTGGCCTAACAGTGGGGGGCTGGATTTACGTGGCCAGGATGATTCTCATCTCTCTGCCACCCGACACCACTGTTCCCTTGCACACTGAGGGGTCTGGCTCTTAGGAGGCAGAAGTCAGGCCTCTTCAACACTATGACACTTCTCAAAAAAAAGTGAGGTTCAGAGGCCAGAAGATCAGGGTTAATAAGTTGACCTCTTTGAAAATTTTGGTTGAGCTTTTTTGTTTCATACAGTGCCAGATGCCTACGTCTTGGGATCATCAAGATGATTTTAGGTGGATGTGGTATAAATAATGTTGAAATCCCTACCACGAAGCTTATGCCCTTTAGAATTATCTTCCAATACACAAATAATCAAACAGAAAATTTAGGGGGCTGGAATGCATCTCCCCCTAACACTAATTAATCTCCCCCATGAGAGGGAACACGCCGCAGACTCAGAACCTTCAGCAGCTAGAATTTAAGAAGACTATTTAATTTGTCCTACACTTAAGTGTATTTTTAAGGATACCCTCTGCTTATGACCAGGGATTCCATTCGCAGGGGTTTGTTTGTTTGTTTCTTTATTTAAGATTTATTTATTTGAGAGAGAGTGTGCATGAGTGGTAGGGGCAGAGAAGGAGAGAGAATCTCCAGCAGACTCCCCGCTGAGCACAGAGCCTGACGCGGGGCTCCATCTCACAACAGTGAGATCAAGACCTGAGCCGAAATCAAGAGTTGGACACTCAACCGACTGTGCCACCCAGGCACCCTTAAAGGTTTTTCTTTTTTTTTAAATAAACATACTTTAACTAGAAAAGAATGGGCCAATTAAGTGAAAAATAGCAAGTAAATGATTATGCTGTGTACATAGAGGTGTCCAAAAAACTGAAAGTGGTTTTCAAAAGACTGCAGTTTGAGGAACAATGTATTGGAGTCAACCGAATCGCAGTTTCAAGCCACTGCAGGAAAAGGGGAAGGGACAGTGCATCACAGCCAATGTCCCCAGCCTTGGGGAAATGACTGCTCTCCTGCTCAATTTTGAAGCACAGACAGAAAGTTGACCTGAGCCCTTTCCCAAGAATGGGGACATTCCATCAAAGTCAGAAGAGATACGTACTTATGGTAATTGGTCCTTCAAAGGCATTGGGCAGGTGTGTGACCGATGTGCAATCTTCTTCGGGTGGAGCTGTGGAGTAGCAAAGAGAAAAAGCATGAGAACTTTAAAAAAAATGGGAGCAAAACTGATGCCCATTTCCATTGGTCAGGATGGGGCTTTATTAAAGCTCTATTTGGTAACTAGACCTTAAAAACTCAGAGAGCTTTAAACTGGTTTTGCTGTTGCAGGAAGAATGGATCCATTTGTGTATGATAGCTTTTATACTGTGTGTGCGTGTGTGTATGTGCACATGTGCCTACCTGTCTGTGCACAAAATGGCCACTTATTTGTTAGGTTGGTTTCTCTCAGTGTCGCTTCTTGACAAAGAGGAAGGAAGAAAGGGTTGGATGGATGAAGGGATGGATGGATGGATGGATGGATGGATGGAGGGAGGGA